ACTCCTGGCGGTACCATCAAAGTGCTCGGAGCGACGTATTACACCACCTCTGATGAGTTTCGTCTCTAACTCAAGTTTTCGCAAAAAGCAAATCTAACAAAACGAGGTATCGTAAGCCAGTTTAACTATCTACGATCCAGTAGGGATGAACGGGCCACTAACAATCCGCTTCAAGCATCTCATGCGGGAAATTATGATACGGAAATCGATTGGAATGTGCCGAATGACCTTGCTGAAATATGGATCAAAACGTGCAAGGTACCGGATAACGTTTCCCTTTCACTCCCTCGCTTCTCAATGGACGAGGACCCAGGGCCATTACCCTTATGGATTTTCGCGGATGCCAATTCACAAGCACCAGCAGCTTGCGCCTACTTTCGGAATGAACATACCCTAAAGGTGACCCAGATGATAAGCGGAAAGACGAGAATAACGCCGAAGAAGACAAACACGACAAACTATACCAAGAGTTGAAATGCTAGCGATACTCATAGCGATGCGCCTTAGCAAAACTATTGCTACGGCTAGTAAAAAATCGTTAAAGAACGTCAATGTTCTGAGTGAAACGCGGATAATCTTCCAAAGTTCGAGTAATTCAGAGATATCGCATAATGAAGGTGAAGAAGTCGATCGAATCAGTGGAAACCCGATAAATTCTAATATGATCCCACTGACCGAAATCCAGCTGACGGGCGCTGGTACACGCAATGCTGATGCGGATCAAATTGTTGAACTACCGTGGCTGATCGGTCCTCAGTGACTGGGCCAAGACCAGAGCTCGCGTCACTTTACGTTGAAATCCATTTCAGGGGTCGAATTTGCTGACTCGGATGGGGGGTTCACTTGCAGTTGTAAGACGCCAATATGTCGCATCAACACAGCCACCAGCTACGGAGTCGGAGTACGGTCTCATCCGTCTGTCCTGGTTTTCGCGTCAAGATAAGGTTATACGGACAATAGCTAGAGTATGCAAGACCATTTGCTTATGCGTCGATAAAGTCAACAGAAGTAAGAATGAAAGCACAGTTCCAAGTGAGACTTCTGAACGAGTTTGCTCTATCGCTCAGTGTCACCAGCGGAGAGTACACAAGGAGCGGTCACTTGCTTTTTGCAGACGTCCACAGGCTTATCTCTTTTAAAGACATTCGAAGAACATTCCTCCAAAAGAAAGTTATTCGTGATGAAGAAGGTATTACACGGACGCAGCCACGTTTGCAAACTCGATCCTTCCTTGTGACACGAGAAATCCAATATACTTTGACAAGGGCTCCGAAATGGTACGGCTTGCTTTGAGCAACATTTATAACAAGGACGCGCACTGTGGAAAGATTACCCCCAAAGTATGGCACGATCACGATTCTGGATACCACGCCCTTCAAGGCCCTTCAGGAAATTCGTGAAGAGTTGCGTAATATGCGAAAATAGGCAAGGTCTGCCTTTTCGTGCCCCTGTGATGCCTCAATTCCTCACGATAGGTCAATTCTAACAACGCCCCTTGAGAAGGTAGGATGCGATTTTATGGGTCCGATCCAGATGAAAGACAACAGGAAAGATTACCTCCGTCTCTACACATGTCTCATGATCAGAGCCATCCACCTCGAGGTGGTCGAGGACATGCCAGCAGGAGCTCTCCTGAACTGCTTCAAAAAATTCGTGGCAAGGCGCGGGGTTTCAAAACTGGTTTGAACGGATTGTGGATTGAACTTCAACTTGGACAGCAAGTACTAGAAACCCTGATCACACCTAATTCGGACGATGAAAGTCTGAGCGAAAATTGCATGATAACTTACTGCGCTGAGCAAAGAATACGATGGATATCCAATCCACCTGGAGCTCTATAGATCGGTGGCGCAAGGGAGCGCTAGTTGGCACCGTAAAACGTGAATTTAATAAAGCTGCAGGTAGGAAAAAGCTAGAGTGATCCGAATATCTGACAGTTGTTACAGAGGTAGAGGCAGTAGTTAACACACGACATCTCGTCGCTTGCTCCCCCAATGTGGAGGATATACCCCTGAGACCAGTTGATTTTATTCACAAATCTCTCAAGTGGGGCTAGCACCTTATGATCTTGATGAGCTCCAAGATCCAACGTTTGATCCACAGTTGATACAGACGGTAACACAAGCAAAGAAAGCACTTGAAAACAGCGAAAGAACAGCAGGAAAATTCTGGGAGGGGTTGCACTCTGAATACCTTATGGCGTTGCTAGAAATGCAAGTAGTACATCGAAAACAGGCCAGACATCAAACGTCAAGCGAACCACATGTGAACGAAATTGTACTCGTTTTGACTTGATGTTTTGTTAACTGCTGTTAATTCGCCGCAGTACGCGATCCGAAAGTCTCACAAGGTTGGCGATTTGTGGACAAAACAACAACTAACATGTAAAGCTTACAGCTTAACGGTT